GTGAAATTTAAAAGACCCCAAAACAGCCAATACTTAATTAAGAGAATCCGTATATTTGCGAACCAGGATATTCATCTACAAATGCATTCGGGATAATTACTCAATAGTTGTGGAAAGAGAGAGAGAGAGAGGGAGAGAGAGAGAGAGAGAGAGAGAGAGAGAGAGAGAGAGAGAGAGAGAGAGAGGGAGAGTCTCTGCATATTTTGTTCACTGTGTTGACTCACTTGTTGTAAACGTATTCCTACCAGACCGACACTCACCCGTCGTCCATCCTTTGTTTGCTTCAACAACGGATGCCACACAGACATGTTGAGATAGAGTAACCTACTTTAAACAATGAATGTACCGACGCGTTGAGAACGAGATGTGTACACGATAATCGCCCTTGATGGGGTTGCGTTGACCAGCGCCTTTCATTTTTAATGACTGGTTGACTACACATGGCGCTTCTATTTAGAATGCCCTTTTTTTAAATGTTAGTGTTTTTACGCCCCCATCGACACACTTTCGATCATTAAAGAGGTGAGCTTCCGACCCTGCCTGTCAATGCCAAACCCGCGCTGAGAGGGATACAATATCCGAGCAGAAAGAGTGAGACGCTCGGTAAAAAAAAATATCTCTCCACACGGAAACCCAACTTGGGTCTCCGGAAGTACCCATTTCCGTCCCACATGGATTCGTTTGAAAACATACAACATTCCACCCAGCCAAACCATCAAACTTGCTAGAGACAACAAGCTCTTTCTCTCTTCGACGCCAAAGAGGGTACAAGAGGACAGATAAAATAAAGTGAGTGAGTGAGTGATTGAGTGAGTGAGTGAGTGAGTGAGTAAGTATTGATTCGATTGGTCACTACAATTGCCACTCTGATTCCAAAATGGGTTTACAGTGCACGGAGAAAAATTCATTGTTTATGAACATATTTAAAAAGGAAGGTGGAAGTAGGGTTTCCTGCAGGATGAAAATTTGTGTTAGAAGTTTGCAGTTAGTTTTAGTAGAAGTTTTACGGTGTTCGCAACTGCATAAGGTCATAATAACCAGAAGGTTAGAGGTGTTACAAGAGAAT